GGGGAGATAGTTCAAAAAGTAAGGAGAGAGAACCTGTTTTTGGCAGCCTCATCTTTGATGTCAGAACCTGGGTGCAGCAGATACTTGCGTTTATAAGGCCTGCCTCTGTCTGAACCTCTCAGTTACTGAGAGGATGAGTAAAAACACTCCACTCTATGGTCATGGCCTTGTTCAATTTGAGAGCAAACATCAGAAAATCTCCCAGTTTTCTACCCATTTGTTTCCCAAAGGGGGTCACAAATTACAGGTTAGCAGGAAGGGGACAGGCTTCTAGATGCTCCTGGGTGGGAATGTATACAATGGGGAGGAGAAAAGTTTTGTGAACAAGTGCAAAAGGGAGGACACCCCAAATGTCTTTCTTCTGACCCCTAGCAATCTTAGACGCGTTCATTACTCTTCTAGAAACCCAGTTACAGACAGAATCTTGCCATGTATTCTATGTCTTTCTGAGTTCATCAAACAATTGAAGGGACTAACCCATGGTGGGTCCTCAGTAATCATGGAGTTATATTTTATTCTTCAACTAAGCTGCTTCTCAAAGACTATCTTGGGTTAGACATTTCAAGATAGTTCTTGCAGAAATATTCTTCAGAAATACTCTTATACTGACCTGAATATTAAGAAATTATGTCAATCTCAAATGTTTACCATATCTCTCAAAGTGCTTCATAAACAGATGATACTCAGTATTTATTAATTACTACCTCTAAGTTTTGAGGAGCCTGATTTAATTCAACAATGCCTATAAAAATTTTAAATTAAAAATATCACACAAGAGATCATAAATATAAAAACTCAACAGTGAGATATTCTATCTCAAATATTTTAAGTCCTTTCCTAAATGTGACCCTATATACCTGGTCAGAACAAAACTGAATTTATTTTAAAATTATATACACACACTGAGTGGGTATTTTGCTTTAAAGGAGATACTTCTAAAACAACTCTCATAGGTCTCAAAGAGTTTAGAAAGCATTAGTTATAAATGTACTCTCACCTGCACATCTTCATTTGTGTGCTCCTAATCTCAGTATCTGCCATCCCATTATGTAGTATTATCCTGACAGTACAGAGTTTCTGTAAATCTGGAAGTGTGATGAAGAAGAGTGACTGCTGCCTGGAGTCATTCATGTTTTCCTGTTGCATGAATGTCTCAGCAATCAAGCCTTTAAAAACAAACAAACAAACAGTAATAAAAAGGTAGTAAACTATACCTACTCATCAGAATACTTGATACTGTGTTGAAATAAGACAATAAAAACAAACTAGAAATTTCAGCAGTTAAACATCACTGACGTTTTACCTTTAAAATTCTCTAATGATAACTTAGATTTGGTACATTTTTTTTTTAAAAAAAAAAATACATCTTTATTCATTTCAGAGAGAGGAAGGGAGAGAGAGAAACATTAATGACGAGAGAGTCACTGATCAGCTGCCTCCTGCACACCCCTCATTGGGATTGAGCCTGCAACCCGGGCATGTCCCCTGGCAGGGAATCAAACCAGAATCTCCTGGATCATAGGTCAATGCTCAAATGCTGAGCAACGCTGGCTGGGTGGTATATGTTCTAAGATATAATTCACCTAACATACAATTCACCCATTTAAAATGTGCAATTTAATGGATTTTCCTCTATTCACTGAGTTATGCAACCATCACAATACATTTTAGAACACTTTTGTCATCCCCAAAAGATATTTCAGAACTTCAAACCTGCAGTTTTATACCACAAATAGAATTTAAGTATAAATAATAATTTAAAAAACCCAGTACTGTTTTTAAATGCCTACTCTGCTCTAGGTACTTGATACATTTCCACCATATTGGCTTTATTTAATAAATTCCTTCTCAAGTTCCTGGCTATTCCTAAATTTCATTTTGATCTTTCCTATGGCAATGATCTTTAAAAAATCAAAATATATAGCAAAGTTTTCTGCTGTTTCAGATTATTTCTATAAAGTACTTCAAGGGTAAGGAATATATTTTTCATCATTTTACATGAAAGAAAATGTTTGCTGAATCTCTAAATTATCTAGTTTCCTCTTCCACTAATTATATGGCTGTAAAACTTCTATTTGGGACACATTTTACAGTTGATAATTCACAAGGCATACCTTTGGAATCTATCTTGGGTGTTACTTTGAAGAAAAACTGGAATTTAAATTTAACTTCTCTAATGTGCACAAGTACATCAGGAGAAGAAAACTGAAATTCTAGTACTTCAAACTTTTTGACACCAACATAGTTTCTCTTTAATAAGTAATCACTTACCAGCCCAGGAATCTGGAAGTGTGACTGACGAGCCTCAAGTCTGATCTCTGTAACTGAATGCTTGTTTGGTGCCCTTTGAGCAAGACTTGGAGCTGCCCCTCCTCCCTCAAGAACCACTGTGCTTGAAGGTTTCATCATTAGAGATCACTTGGTTCTTTAAAAAGTGAATGTACTCTTAGGACCTTTAACTAACAAATTCACACAAGGTATTCAGAACCTAATGATTTCTGCTATCGGAAATAAAAACATTCCTTCCTTCTCTCTGCTTTCCCCGTTCTCTCCTATGTAAATGTCTACCGGTGTGAAAAGTTAATAAAACACGAAGCACCAATGACTGTTCCCGAGGCAAACACAACCTACCCCACGGTCTGCTGAAGCTCGCGTCCTGGGGAGCGTTTTAGGAAGAGCATCGACTATGCACCAGGCACAGCACACAGCGCGGAACTGATTAGGGCTCGGGTCCGGAGGTGCAACTCTGTGTATTTTAAAGAAAAATAGGTCACGTCACTGTGGGCGAAGACCTGAGACGTCACTTTCATTTCTAAAACACATTTCCCACTAAAATTACTTTTTATGTCATTTTCCCAGTCAATGCCCTGTAGCAATCACCACGAAATTTCTGCGCAGCCCTCCCCTGGCTGTCAGTCTTCAAAAGCTGAACATGAAATTGCACGTAAACAACACCGGTCTGTTCAGGAACAGGCCAGAATTCACTTAATTTTATTATTTACAATGACCTTCAAGGCTTTTTTAGGTTCCTAATTAGCAAAACTTGCCGACGATAAGCTTGTTCGCTCTACCCAGACAGTGGAAGGACGACGCGGTGAGGCTGGAAACCTGGGCGGCAGCCTGATCAACGGGGGCCGAGGCGCGGACGCCC